TCAGCCAAGCACTTGAGAGAAGCATTTTCCTGAGTGAGCATCTATCCCACGGATGGATGCAGCACACAGGCTGCTCCTCTGAAATGCACCTGGTCTTCATAAACAGAGGCAACTTCAATCACTTAGGATCCTGAAACACCAAGCTCAAATGACACATGTGTTGGCCTTTGGGGGATGAGATTTCTTGAAATCTCACACATCTGGTTTTCCCCTCCTCTGCTTTGTAGAAGCAACCAGTGAGGTTTCATTCCTGCTAATGTTTCCATTTGTCTATGACAAAGTGCAAAATTTCACAGCTATGCTGTGTCAGAGCTGTGGTACCTTCTGCCTCTTGTTGACCTGGTCAGCATTACTTATCAATTGCCCTCTGTGACTATCCCCATAGCTCACAAACATTGAAGCATTATTACATTTAACTATGATATTCTCTATAGTAGCTACACTGATTACTTATCAGCCTTTAGGATTGCTCGTAGAGCACAAGCCTTAAGCCTGAGTAGTAAAAAGGATGGCATGTGGGCAAGGTTTGGCTGCTTTTACCAGAACTGCTTGGGGATTTTCCATCAGGAGAATGCTGATTTCGTGCAAAAAAAAACCAACTCACCTGGGCATGCCAATACCAACATGTTCTTGTTTCCAAACAAAAAAATTACCTGAAAGTTTAGATAACATCAAAACATTATATTTCCTGAATATGAGGGCATATAATACTTTGATTTTCATTCTAAAGCAACTTTTCACTTGGAATTGATATATACACACAGATTGATTTTAAATGCCAAAATCAACTCAAAATATGTAACAAATTTTTAAATAGTTTCACAAGGGCATTTTTGAACAAAACCTCTATTTAAATTAAATGCCAGAATTTTGCCAGGAAATAGAAAATACATTTCTTGTTCAGCTCTAGACATGAGCGTAACACCTTGATAAGCTTTAATATAACTGAGAGAACACACTGGGCTAACAGGGTCAGCTGTAAAAATGCTGGGAGAGCAAGGAGGCAGAAGGACGAGCTGAGAGCAATGCTGTAGGTCAGGGAAATGTGAATTTGTGATGCCAGGTGGGGTACCTGCACATGGGCCAGGTTTCAGAGAGTCTGGGGATGCGAATGGAGAAGCTGCCAAAGAAGGATATTTCAGAGCATTCACTTCAAGGGCAAACCACTGAATCATTTTAAATCACATCAGTTAGTGGAAAAAAAAACAAACCAAATTTCTTTCTCTCCAAAGCAGACTCCCTGATGTGCCAATTCGGAGTGCCATAGTGGTGCTGTTGGTGGCATCAAGGAGGAAATTGGGAAGCATCATCTCTGTCTGCCCAAGCCATTCTGAGCCCTAGTCATCAGAGAAAGTGGATCAGTGCTGAGTGGATGGCCGAGATAAAAGGTATAGCTCTAAAGCACATTAATTGCTTATTAATTACCCCATTAATCATGGTGACACCTTTGTCTGCATTCCCAGTAACACACTTGGAGTTAGCTGGGACTGTCACACTGCTTTGTGTAAGCTGACATAGCTTTGCTGCCTCCTTCCACGCCCTCCTGGATCCCAAAGGGTGAAAAACAAACCCAAAAACCCCCACAGCTTAGCAATGGTAAGCTACCCATCGGTAGCATGGCAGTCTGTGACCCAGTGCAGGCAGTTTGGAAATATGCCCTCTCAATGGCAATGGGCAGGACAAGAAAGCGCAGATGTCAGGATACTCACAGGACAATGATGAGCTGAAGTCCTCAAAAGTTTGAGATCCAGGTTACAATTTGCAAAGCATCACCTTATGGAGCCCATCCAGGGCTCTGCTGCAGCTTCCCACAAGGAACTGCAAGTTCCCATTAAATCACAGAGAGCTGTAAACCAATCAACACAGAAAATTTCTGTTCCATCACCAGTGCTCTTTCTTTATTTTTTTATTTATAGCACTCTCTGATTTCCAGCAACTTTTTTATTATAAAAAAATTATTTTCTTTGTCTGAAAATTGATATAAAAAGAAATCCATCTCTCAGCCGTCATTTCTCTTAATGATGTTTACATCAGCAGATGGGGAAAAAATCACTTTTTAAACAGAATTTATTACCCGCTGACCCAAAGCTTTACCATATATCACTGTGGTTTCAGAAAGTTAGTTTCCACAGCAACATGATGTAACTCTCCAGCGTGTCTGTGAGCTGCTGATGTTAACTCTTCCAGCTCCTAGCCTCAGTTTTGTGAAGGGGTATCTTAGCCACATGGCAGTCACTAGGAGACCTCAAAGTTGGTTAAGATGTGGGAGCTCATGCTCAGGAACCCTGTGCAGATAGGGCCATCTTTAAATTCCCTCATTTAATGAGGTAACAAGTAACAGCTTAAAGCAAAAGTGAAAGCCTGCAGGTATCCCAGGCAAAGGACACAGCTCTGTGCCCACCAGCAGCACTAGTTGGGTAGAGGTAACACAGAAGGAAGAAGACAACAGATGACTAGAGATACCTACTAGTACAGTATGCTTGCCCAGAGAATGGGGTGGCAAAACAATACAGTCATTAGGATGATTCAGAAAAAGGGAGGAGGGTCTTAGAGAGACTAGGAGAGTCTAGCCAAGCATACAAGCCTATCCATAATATGCTTGCCCAGATACTTAGGGACAAGCAGATACTACTGCTTGTATTTATACTATACTGCTTGTATCTGTACTACACTGCCTCCAAGCAGTAGTATCTGCTTGTCTGTAAGCAAAGATGTCCTCACCTCTGGGTGAGGAACTGGGTTGGGTATTTTGTTCCATGGCTCTCCTCTTCACTGTGAAACTGTGGCTTGGTATAGAAATACCCAAAGACCAGATGCCTTCCTGACTGCTGATCACATTTGTGCAAGCATCTAGAGAGCTCTCACAGCTAGACGGCAGAGAGATCAGAGAGAATGAGCACAGAGCGATAACAGCCACTGTCTTGGGGAAGGGAAGGGCCTGGGAGAGCAAAAGGCAACTCTCTGCTCCTCTGAAGACTTGTGCTCTGAGATCACCTCCAAGCTTTGGCCACACAGGTACAGACAAGCATCAGGCATAATCGGCTTTAGCAAAAAAGCTGGCTGCTTAGCAATCAAGGTTCAGCTCCAATAGAGACAGTTGCACCTATCACTGCACTTATTGATTGCTGGAATGTTGATAAACAATTGATTTTTTTTCTGCAAATGTCACCTGGAAGGAGTTTTATACTTCTCTCTACAGGGAACAAATGATAGCGAGAACCTAACAAACACAAAGAAAGCAAAGAAACACAAATCTTCTGATACGGCTGATAATTCTTGATAGAAAGTGGCCAAGTAATAGAATTAAGTTGCTTCTACTGGGATTTGAGAGTCTACCATGGTGGGAGATGGGAAAAGCATTACTCAGTGCTTTGGCTCAGACTTCAGAATGACACTTTGGCACCTTATCAAAGAAATCCAAAATCTACAGCCTCTTGGCTTGAGCCAGATACAGAGCAATAACCGATCCACCTGATGAGAGATGTTAATCAGCTTTCAGCAACAGATCATAAGCCAGGAGAATAAAGGCTGTTGGGACTGTGGGAAGTGCATGACAATATGCAGAGACACAAACTGTGCAGAGGAGAAAGCAAACTCAGATAAGTCAGGTTCCAAGAACACCATACATGGAGCTCTTGAGAAAAAACAACAGGCATTTACAGAGAAGACGAGAAAAGTGCAAGTTACCTGGCTCTAAGACTACCTGGAAAATGATACTCTGTATCGTGTTTGGAACCAGAGGACCATTTAAAAGACTATTGTATCACCCTAAATTGGGAAATTTAAAGTAGTATTCACAGGAGACAGCAAAACACGAAGGGCAGCAATACACAGGAAACCAGACGCTGCCAGCTCTGATCTCCTGAAGAATCCTTGGGAGATCAGGGTTGGTAAGGCAAAGCTCTGCTGTGAGAGTCCTCTCAGGAACCCCGAACATACTTTGCAGTCTTAATCTGGGCATTTCTCTCTAGACATCAGCCCCATGTGTCCTGTGCAACCACACACTGACATAACTATTATAAGGGTCTACTGAGGTAGACCTTCTTCCTATTCCAGGCTCAGGAAGATCTCAAAAGATTGCTGCAGCAATCGCGATGCCGTCACCAGTTCAGTACTATGGACCAATCTTCCAGACAGACCAAACAGCTCTTGGGAGGAAAGCTAGCAGCTTTTGTTCCCTGCCATGCTTGCAGCCTTGCTTTTAATAGTAAGCATCTGGCCTCGAAGACCAAAGTCCCAAAGCCATTGAGCCCAAGGTCTAAACCCAAATCTCCACACCCCAGCACTGTAACCATTGGGTCTGAAGGATAGATAAACCTTCTCAGTCCTAACGTATTTCTTTCTGCTCTACCTTGCGCATTTTAAAAGCCTTTACACAATGGCCAGAAATCTTCCCCAACATACTGTATGAGAAGTGCTTCACAATCTATCGCCCACACCCTATAAGGATGCAATGCAACCCTGTACTGAACCACTTCTCACCTTTCCCAGAGCACAAAGCTTCCCAAACCTCATGGCTTCATGAGTAGCACAAATAAAAGGTAGTCTCTGTCCTCCTCTGTCTGAATAAAAAGATTTGTAGCATTTGGAGATGTTTTCTGAAACAAAAAAGTCCCCACTTGTAAATGCATTTTGACTGGTGTGTCTAATGTGTACTCATCACTACAATAATTAACCAGCAAATACATATCAAGTTTGGGAAAGCTGTCTCAGGAGGTTGTGACCATATTTAGCCAAAACCACTTGTTCTCATTGATTTTTTACCTAAAAACAATTCAAGCTTCCTTTTCTGCATTCAGTATGGCAGCTCTTGCACAAGTTAAAGTCTCCAGTAAAGCTCCTCTGTGCTAATAAACATTGGTTCTGCCAAAGAAAGACACCAGCCACATTTTCAGAGATATGAGCAGCACACTGACAGGGTTAGAATCGTTATCAAAGATCAGATTCAAGATTAGTATCATTATCAAAATCAGCCTACCAATGCCATTTCCTCCACTTACCTTAAAATCCTGGAGTCTATCAGAGGATGTTGACCTTTATATCAAAAAATGTCAAGCAGCCTATTTAGTAGAAAGGTTCAAATTAGATGACCTAGAAGGAGAAAGCTTTTCCAGAAGCAGCTTCCATCCTCTTCAGCAGGGAGATGGTGCATGTGCTGCGAAAGACACAGGCAGGTTGCAGCCCACACCTCAGGAAGCCGGCTTCAGGCTCGTCAAAATAGTCTGCTTGATGGAAGGAGATGTACTAATTGATCAGGCATCACAGTCATGAGATGTTGTACAATTCCTGCCGAGGATGGAGAGATACATCCATCATCACAGCTGGCTACGCCGGGCAGGAGCAGCGTGAGCAGCGGAGCTTTAAAACCTTGGCCTTTTTAACAATGCTGTCCTGTGCTATGAGACGAGGCTTGTGATTGAGCTTGCAATGGAGGAAGTCGCAGCAGCATCACATCATGCTGCGGACTGTATCATGGGACTGGGAAATGTGCATTCCTGCCCTGTGCTCTGTGCAAGGGCCACGGCCCTTCTCCTGCTTAGGGACCCTGTGAGAGAAACCACAGTGGAGCAGGACTCGGGACCGGGTTGTGGATGCATGTTCCCACATCAACGACAGTCCTTTCCCAAAGCTTTCCATATCCATTGCTTGGGTCAGGCTATAGTTCATCTCCAGCTCTGACAGTAATTTGAGCTAGTGAAAAATGAATCTGTTGGAAAGAGAAGACCAGGATACACAAACCACGACAGCGGCTCGAGCTCAGGCAAGTGAGTGGTAGAAATAACCCCACGTATGCTCCCAGCCCTTTGACACTAGGTATGCCAGCAGCCAGCCACTGCAGCTTGGCAGGTGTCTGGGCAGGGTTTGCCTGTGATCATCTGTCTGTCCTCAGATCCAGCATCCTTCACTCATTTCCAGTGATCCCAAGGTCCTCACAACATGCTACCACATAAACTGGAGCCACTCAAGATCTTGCTACCAACACTACGTGCCACAGAATGCTCCTTCACAGCCTTTCTGCCCCAGGGATCTGTCATTGAACTCAGCCTGAGTCCAGCAGCATTCACTCAAAACTCCCACTGGATTTAGAAGGAACATTAAATAAAACCAGCTGCTCTTTGCTGTCACAGCCTAAGTGCATTAATGTCTTTTTATCTACATGGGGGCACTGCAGCTGACCCCTGTTTCCATGCAATTGGTGTTAATAAAATCTTTCTCTGCAGAAGTGACAAGGGAAAGATACACTTCAATTGGCATATTTTATTTGAATTGAAATTTGAGTGCAAGTCTCATGATTCATAAAAACCTGTGTTGATAACTCTGATCCACGACCCTCCTCTGAGACCAGCTTTTGGGCTGACTATTTCTGAAGAAAATGCTTAGGAAACATCTATATAAGGCAGCCCCCAGCACTGGCTTACAATCAAGTCATCTTTGAAACACTTATTTCAGCCAGTTTAGGTTACTTTCACTGAAAAATTAGAAGCAAAAATAGTCCAGAGACAAAACATTATAAAGAGCATATGGGAAATAAGATACAGAATAGGTCTTGAATCTTGGCCGAAAACTGATTAGTTTAGATTTATGTAAGAGTCCTTCAAGCCAAGAAGCAGTAAGCTGAAGCTAAACCTGAGGAAATTAAAATAGCTGTTACAGCCTCTTTTTCAGCAAGCATGGGCAAAGGAGGACAATAGCTGTAGTCTGTAGCTGAGCATAGCTGTCCAACAATTCCACAGGAGGAAGAAATGCTATTGCAATAGGTGGGAAAGAAGAAGAGAACTGGGCATGCAGCTGAGCAAGAAACACCTGACTGGATCTCTGGATGCAGCAAAAAAGGAGAGAAAGCTAGCAAGTATTTTTGGCTACCTACAGAAGCAGGAGGAACATCTCTGAGGCATAACAGGTAGGCTCAACATGTGACCAAAATGTGCAGAAAGGCAGCAATATGGAAGGGAAGCAAAGGGATTGCTGAAGAGGGCCAGGTTAGCAACATCTTCCTCTGATGCCATAGAAATTGAGCTGTATTCCCCTGCTGTCCTGACACACACAAGGATAAATGCATGCATCTGTGTCTGTTAATGTGCTGTGCACTAGGGGTTATGCAGACACTGTGGCTGCACCCCACATGCCACCTTCTAGTTAAGCCTGAATGTCCAAGTGAAGTCCTCAAGCCATTCAGAAATGCTTCTGGAGGTATTTCACTGGAACCTTAATGGCTAAAGGACCAAGGCAAGACACAGTCTTAATACTTGTTCTCTGATCTCCCATTATACTGGCCCAAACTTTTCCTTTCCCTGCGTCCTGGTTTATACTGGGATACAGTTAATTTTCTTCCTAGTAGCTGGTACAGTGCTGTGTTTTGAATTTAATATGAGAATAATGTTGAAAACACTTCCAACTTGAAAGGTGGAAGAAAATTACCTCTAATCCAGCAGAAACCAGGACACCCTATCTACAAAATAAGTTGATCCTGCTTAGATCTTCCTCCTTGCTCTTGAAGTGATGTTCATAGGGTGTTTTATTCAGTTTCAAACTACTTCTACCTCTTCCCTATAGATCACTTATTCTGTTTTAAATTTATATTAACCATTTTGCCAGAAGCTCCTTTTCTAAGCAGGCTCCTATATTAAGACCAACTGTACCTGTCCATGCCAAATGAAAAGAAATGATGAATGTGCTTCATCAGTCAGGGCAGGAAAAGTGATAGTAATGTGAAGAGACAGTAAATAAGCAAAGCATCCACAGAGTATTTCAAAAGTAAATCAGGTTATGGAAACAATTAAAAGAAATTGAGAATTTGTGTACAATTAGTAGTCATATTGCTTCTCCCACCCATACAGGCAGTTCTGCAGTATCAAAATGAAGAACTGACTTGCATTTTTGAAGTCTCAACATTTCATTAGTAATAGCAGATTTTTTTCCAATTGGGAGAACAGGTATAATCTCCCTCTCTTCTTCCCTATTTAGGCAGCTCTGCTGAGAGGGAGCTCAGTTATAACTTGAATATTAGATTCAAAAACAAGGCAGAACCGAAGCTACAGTGGTTGAATCTCAGCCAAGACCTCCCTGCACACAGGTCCAGTAGAGCTTTTTGCAGGAGGTTTCAACCAGATAGGAAATAAACGCAGACCAAAAGCAAAACACAGCTGAAAGATTTAATTTGCCATTCTCCTGGTGCATTTTTCAGAAGTTCTCATTGTAGCAGGTGAACCTCACTCTTCCCAGTCTGTATTAAAAGAATGGCGATAACGATTTCTTGGTCTATGCTACCCCTGCCCAATGCACAAACGACAGTACTGCCGCCTTGGTACTGAAAAAGACTAAAATATTGACTGGCACTATCTGATCAATTGTGGAAGGCAAGTGATTATAGACTGGGAAAGAGGGCAGTGATTTGTGTAAATTTTACAATTATTCTGATTAATAACCCCCAATTTATTTATTTCTATCTCTCCATAGGCAAAAGGAGATGTATGACTGCTGCAGATGAAGACACAGCCCAGCATCTCTGACAACTTCAGGATGACAACTCAAGCTTGCAAGGGTCACTGCTGTCCCAGGCACCACTTCAGAATCCAAAACCCCTTCTGCGAGCATGGGGGAAATGGACCAACTCCCCTCAGAGATATTCTCTGACAATAAGTGCACTTAAACTTCTGATGTGCTCAGACGCAGGGAGACAGAAGCCGGGACAGAAGGATACATCTCTCCTGCAAGGCACTGGAGCGTAGCAGCCCAGCAGGCTCTTGCCTTCAGCTAGGAGAATGCCCTTGTAATGTTCTCCCTGTTAAAATCTTTATGCTTTGAGCTGCCTGCAACCCTTTCCAACCCAAGCAAGCTACTTCAGAAAGCTGAATCCTGTGGCAGAGATTCTCGTAGGTAAAATACAGATTTTTCCCTCAGTGTGGAGTTTTTGCAGGGTTTATTTGCCCTATGAATGAGCTGAATGAAATTTTTTGGGAAGCATTTGTTGCAGAACTGAGATGGAAACTCTTCACCTGGTCCAGCCTATGGGAAGGGTCTGAATCTCCACAACACTCCCCAGGACCCCAATCACTCTTGGGGCAGACTGGGATTTTAAGCAGCAAGAATAAATAAGCAGAAAGAATGAAAATGACAATTTGCACAAGTTGGAAGATGCCTCAAGAGGAGCTTAACCACAGAGTCAGTTAAGACCTTCCTTAGCATCACAGCCTAAGTTAAGGCTCCCCAGTCTCACTCCCACCCTCCTCTTTCTTACCTTGTTGCAACTTCCAGTCTCCCACATAGTCACCTCGGTCGAAGTCCCAGAGGAGATAACACAGGTCACATCACTGTCTTCTTATAATCATTCTAATCACCTCATTATGCACCTCACATTTACCCCAGCATGGGGACAGAGCAGGAGAGGCAAGGCAGCCTTTCCCACATCAAGCTCACTGCCCTGAGGCTGGAGGGGGACAGCCCTTCCAGAGACAGAAGGCAGAAAGAGAAGCCAAAAATGGCTACAAGTCAGGGAGATTGGAGCAAATTATGAAACCCACTTGTCAAACATATATGGCAGTGTCAGGCTTTGCCTGGAGCTTCCCTTCCTGCTAAAAGAAATGTGACAAATTAGGGTAGGGAAGCATACACTATTGCTGTCCTGAAGAGCAGGGGAGATGTTTTATGTATTTTGCTCTCGTAAGTCAGACAAAAGTTCAGCAACTCCTAAGTTTGCAAAACAAAAAAAAAAAAAAACAACCCACACAAACCAACAAAACAAAAAAATACAGTAGAGAAGAAATTTGGCCCAAGGGTTGCAGTGCTCCAGTCTGAGTCAGGGCAAATTTCAGCTCATCTGAAAGTCCCACAAAGCAACTGGAGCTTTTAATTTAAAGAGAATATTTTAAACATCCCAGATTTTCTGCTTTTAAAATTATGTTTGTTTTAGTCAAATGGAAAAAATAATTTAAAAAAATATTCCTTGGTAAAAAAGCATCAGTGGAAAGCTTCTGAAATGAAAAATTCTCTTGCAGGTTTCTTCTGAAGAGGAAAAGGCATTATGCATTTTTCATTGAAATGGATGGCATGTGTCTTTTTTCCTGATGAAAGAGAACGGTGCTTCTAGACAAATCCTGAGCTGGTGCAGAGGTGGATTATAACATACCCGGCTCCAGCCAGAAGCAAGGAAATGGTATGAGAAGCCCAAACAGCTCTGTGCTGCTGCTTGCTTAACCAACTCAGACAGATGTAATGGAGTTTCCCCCAAAGTGAGACTCAGAATAGAATCAAGAAAACCTCAGTTTTATCTTAACTTGGGATGCCTTAAGATCCTTTCAGAGATGGGCTTGTAAGGTGTGTGTTTCTGCAAAGTTGTGTGGAGTCATAGGAATCGTAGCTTGGGATTGTCAGTCTGTTTTCCAGAGTGTTCAGTTCCCCTGGCTAAGGGCATGACACTAGAGAGCACAGTAAAGAGGAGCTTGCTCCAAGGAGGACAGCCCATGCCAAGGAACAGAGCATCTGCATCACAGTTCCCCAAAACCAGCCCTGGCAGAAGCTCTCCAGCATTGAATTTACTAACTGCAGGTTTCGGTTCATTTAAAGCAAAGAATATGATTCAGTCCCAAACAAAGTTCTTCAATTTGGATTTGCCCCAGCTTTGGGGTTTTGGTTGCTTGTTTATAAGCTTTTCTGTACAGTGTAAGCTAGAAATCAAGAATTACAGAAATTGCTATGCCCAGTAATTAGCATTTCCACTGCAGTGGAAAATTCCCATCCAGCTCTGGCCCCAAGCTGAGAGCAGGTCCTAAACACATTATTCACTTTGAAGAACCAAATGAATTTTCCCCCAAGTTACATCAGGAAGCTGTAATGAAATATCCTCTTCTGGAATAAAAAACACCCTGCTAACTGCCAGCAAAAATCCCAGCATTAAAAGGGTTCATTAATGCAGGCAAGATTTGCCCTGCCAGACAAGAGTGCTGGTGCCCTACCAGTGCAGAGCATTGTCTCTGGAGGTGCTTAATTCCATATGCTTCAGAGGACAGAAGAGGAAAAAAAAATAATTAAAAGGCTCTTAATGCATCTGGCCAAATAAGTAAAGCTGTAAATGGTGAGGAAATAATTCCTTCCTGACCCCTGCAGCAATCATCTGCTGACCTGAAGCATGAGAATTGATTAGCCTTATCTTACTGTAGCATGTATAACTACAAATGTTATTATTGGCCATAAAATCATCCAGCCCTTTATGGAACCTATCGGTGGCATTTGGCTCCATGGCCTCTCAAACCATGAATTTTGCTAGCTAGAACAAATCCCCATGTGGTGGGAGAAGCCCTGCTTTGCTTCCCTGTCAAAGTGGGCCGAGAGGGAAATGGTTTCCTGCCGTGGGCAGCACTGTCCCTGTTTACCACAGTCCAGCCCTCAATAGATTCGGTGATGTGCAGGGTAAAGTGTTCAAAGGAATAAGATAACACTTACAGCTCTGAACTGCTGGTATCATTCTTCACTGCCAATGGCTTGGCCTTTGTGCTGACATGGGGGTAAAGGAGGAGAGCCCAGGCTTCACCTCACCTCCTCTCACTCAATTAATAACACAGCTGTCAGCACCAGGCTAAGTGAGACTTCTGAGAGACAGCAAAGCCCGGGGTGGGATTTACCCTTATCTTCCTCAACCCTACTCACCAAGAAAAACCCATCTCTCTAATGCAGATGCTCACACAGCATCTGCACTGGAGCCCCCTCCAGACCAATGTCACTTACAAAAGCCGAAGCATCACCTCCTGAGCTGATCAATAAGTAATTGCCAGCTCTCTCACAGCGCAGAGTGGTCTCTCCATCTGTCATGCCTCTTTCTGCTACCTCGACCTTTTCTGTGAGACTAGACGCACAGGGAATCACGTTTGGTCTTCAGGAGGTCTGGGAAGCAAACTGCCAAGTGACATTAGGAATAGGGAACAACTTACCTCCTTTAAGAGAGGGAGCTGTATTATCTGGTGACCTGAGCTAGTGTCGACAG